CCAAAAACCGAATAAAAGTATCGATTTTTATAAAAAAAGAATTATAAAGGTTACACATGCCAATATATAATAACAAATATAGAACCTTAGGTGCTATATTTCACGATGCTAACTAATTACATGAATAACAATAAATCAAAAAACTAGATCCACATCCAAACACAAAATCCAGTTCTGATACCAATTGTAGGAATTATTTGTTCTGCGGAAGCATTTTAAACCATTGTCGCTTGGGATGCAAACGGATCATCATTGTTTTATTAATTTACCTCTTGATGCGCAGATCTTGTGCATAATCTCCCCATGTACGATTTCTCTTCACGAACTGCTCACCTCAGTGTCGCAGCGCGAACAAACTCCTTAAGCCTAGACAGTGACAGATCTTCCAAACTATGTCTCAAGGGGAAAGAAAAAGTGTGTGGGCTAACATTATCTCAGCAACCACCAAGTGAAGACCTAAGAGGCTGATGACTATAAGTGTAGAATATATATGAGTTCCAAGAAACCCTAACCCTAAGTTGAATGGGCTTTAGATTTTTTGGACTCTTTTTACACATTGAGCCCTATTGGGCTGTAGTGAAAGAGCAAAATTCAACATTTTGAACCTTTCCCTAAATTTAAACTACATACATAAGATACTTACTATAGGTTTTGCAAAGATATCTTCAATCATATATAAGGATGTGTCAAGAGAATGTGGCTAATCAAACTGTTCTTTTATCAGTCAAACTTTTCTTTTATCAGTTATTCGGGACACAGAAGATAAGAATAATTCAAGATAATTAATTTTAAGAGTTTGGGTATTCATTTCCGATCGAGGACAATTGCTCTGGATTACTTTACGTTCGCTATCAAAGGAAAGAAACAATTTTGATTGAAAAATTGATAAATATGCTTGCAGTGTGGCATTTTGGCTATTCATTCTTTTTATAGAAAGAATAATGAAGGGAATCAAATTCTCCTTCAGCAAGGGTGGATGAGAGTCACTGAATATTAGAATTTTTTGTTCTAGGGTGGTCCTTTAAAGAGTTAATTAATTAAATATCTCACTGGGTATAACGCTACGCGTTCCACTATATAATGTGGACAGATTAGTCCATGTGAGGCACAACAGCTACTGAGCAAACCTGTGGCTTGTATTATATTCACGGTAGGTAGAGGTGCTGCAGTATAGTGGAAGAAAGAAAGCTTCATAGATGAAGGTAAGAGAGTCGTCAAGCTTTAATTATTTTGTTTCGATTTTGGTAGTGGCTTGCAATTACTGTTGCTATTAATTGTCTTCTGAGCATTTGGAAGAAACTTTTCTTAACAATGCAAAAAAAAAAAAAAATTATTAATTTTTTTTAAAAAAAAAATTAATTCTAAGCATATATATATATATATATATATATATATATATATATATATATATAGAGAAAAAAAATATGGGTTTCACGTACTTATGTATTTATAGGAAATAATTTTATCTCCTATAATATAAGAAAATATGGGTTTCACATACTTATGAGTGTATAGGAGATAATTTTATCTCCTACAATATGATAAACACTAATCCTATATATATATGGGTCAAGATCATTTTACATCAGTGTAAGTTACACTCTCAATCTTGACCATTGATCTCACTTATATCTAAGGGCTCTAATTTTTTAGTAATGTGAGTCATTGGATACAAGTGGATCAATGATCAAGATTGAGTGTAAGACTTCTAATTCTTACACTGGTGTAAGAATATCCTGCCCCTATATGTATATATATAGCGATTAATGTTTCTTATGTTATAGGAGATAATTTTATCTTCTACATATACATAAAAGTGTGTGGAGTCCATGTGTAGCTATATGAAGAGAATAGAGAGAAAAAGAAAATATGGACTTCATATACTTTTGTGTGTATAGGAGATAATTTTATCTCCTACAATATCAGAAACACTAATCTCATATATATATATATATATATATATATATATATATATATATATATATATATATATATGGAAAAATATTTCTGCAGTTACTGCAGATAACTTATCTGCATTTATACCCAAAACGATGTCGTTTTGGTATTGAAATCTTAGAAAATTATAAATATAAAGACTATTATAACCCTGAAATAAATTAAAATTACAAAAATACCATGATTTCCATCCCAAAACGACGTCGTATTGGGCTTACTGCAGATAAGTTATCTGCAGTAACTGCAAAAAAAAGCGAACCCATATATATATAAGAAAAATATTTCTCATGTAACTTGAGATATATTTACCTTCGTCTACCCCAAAACTATGTCTTTTTTTATTTATTTTCTTATATTAATTGATTAACCTTTGAATGGTTATGATTTTCTTGTTCTCTCTCTTCCTTTATCACCATTGATCCATTTTTGTACGATTATGATTTAGTAGCCGGAAAAACAGATATCTCAATCAACTTGAGAAATGATAATATATATATATATATATATAATATATATATATATATATATATATATATATATATAT